AACAGAAGTTGAGTCAGGCTGAGCTGTGGAGATGAACAATCTCAAAAACTGTTTTCTTTAAGCAAGCAAGCAAGCAAACAACCAGAGAAACCCCAGAACATTTTATTGGCAGGAATAGGAGTTTTGTGTGCAAGTGAAGGTCAGAACACTGTTTGTGAGTTACTTCCCTCTTTCCACCAAGTGTGTTCTAGGGATGGAACTTGGGTCCTCACGCTTGCCTGCAAGCACCTTTGGCCCGTGAGCCATATCCCCAGCCCCAAGATCCCTTTCTTAACTGTAACAGTAACTCTGGCTGGTTTCAAGTTCAACAGTATCAACATAAAGTAGCACACGGAGGTAGCTCTTCTGCCCCGTTCCTCTCTGGAGGAAACATCAATGAAATGCTTGCTGTACCTTGTCACTCATTCAGCCAGGCAGCCGACAACCTGGCATCCTTGCTGTCTCTCCTGGTGTGACAGTTGAAACTGCCAGGAGAGTGGTTTGTGTGACTTGTCTCATGCCAGTGACTTAGGCAAATATGTCTTCAGGCAAGTGTTACTCAATTCCCCACAGAAAGGAACTGGGCTTCTCGCAGCTGGCAGACTGACTTTCTGTCTATTCTCTTTCCTCACATCATTGTCTCTGCCTCCTTTTTTCTTTCTTTCTTTATTCTTGAGACATGGTCTCACTGTAGCCCTGAAACTCACTCTGTAGACCAGGCTGGCCTTGAACTCACAGACTTTCCTCTGCCTCCGGAGTGCTGGGATTAAAGGTGTGCACCAGCAGACCAGGCTCTTTATTCGTTGTGGGTGGAGTTGTGAGACCAGTTCTCGGGCAGAGCTCTTGCCTGCATAGGTGAGGCTCTGGAGTCCATTCCCAGTGCCATCCACGAGAAGTTAAAATGGCAGCGGTGCTCCCGGGAGCAAATCCAGTTTATCCAGAAACAAGTCTGAACACAGAGGATGTGAACCCACAAGGGCAGCCACTGTCTGCAGATTGCAAAACGATTTGCAAGCCACCCAGGAGATCCTTGATAGGTGGATGGTTAGAAGCTCAGGATCAGGGGCCGGTCTCTGTCTGTACTCAAAGAAAGGTCTCCAGAGCTCTCCCACCAGCTGCTGGGGCAGATCTCCAGATAGAAAAAGTGTAAACATTCAGTTGCAAAAGGAACCTTTTTGGCTGATGAAAATGCTGGGCTTTTTTTGTGTGTTTGATATTAGGGGTGGAACTCAGGAACTCACAAGTGTTAGGCAGGGGCTCTACCACTGAGCCACGCCTCAGCCCCTCACTGGGGGATTCTAGGCAGGGGCTCTACCACTGAGCCACACCCCAGCCCCTCACTGGGGGATTCTAGGCAGGGGCTCTCACTGAGACATACCCCAGTCCCTCACTGGGGAGTTCTAGGTGGGGGCTCTACTACTGATCCATACCTCCCTGCAATGTTACAGTGGGTTTATGACTTGTCTAAAACTTATCAGAGGGGTTGGTGTAGATCAGTTGGTAAAGTACTTGCACAAAGTCCTGGCTTTGATCTGATCCCCCATATCTCATAAACTAGGCGTGGTTGTCACAGGCCTATGATCTGAGCTCTTGGAAGGCAGCAAAACCTTTCAGGGTGACGGGCTACAAATGCACCAAGAGCCACAATGCAAATAAGACACCTTAAGTGAAAAATAACAGAGCAGCTGGCTAGGGGTGTGGCTCTTAGTGTTCTCAAGGCCCAGCTTTTCCCCAACATGCACACACATACACACACACACACACACACACACACACACACACACACACACACACACCACCACACACCACACCACACACCACACCACACACACACACACACATACACACACACACCACACTCCTTGTAAAACTATACATTTAATGAGTTTGAATTAAGTGTGTAAATTACGCTTCAAAAACCGGTTTTGAAGAAAAGGAAGGTTAAAAAAATAAGGTGTGGTTCAGTGGGTAAGAAAAAAACATATTCTGCTTTGCTTTGATTTTCATAAGAAAATCTCTGAGAGAAACTGGGTACAGTGACACACACTTCTCGTCAAACTTGAGGGGCTGGGCAGGACTGTGGAGTTGGAGGCCAAGCTGGGCTGCACAGAAGATAGTGAGACCCCTTTTTTATGGAGGGTAGGGAGGAGGGAGGAAGGAAGGAGAGGAAGAGAGAGGAAGGGAGGGAGGAAGGGAGGGAGGGAATGGATATGGTAGGACAGGAAGGGAAGCAGTTTCCTGTTAGGCCAGAGGGAAGGAAAGGGTGGACCTGGAAAAGAAGGGAACACAGTATACTTTTTAATTTTCTATTTTAGTTTAGTGTTTACTTTGCTTTAAACTGTACTTACTATACTTATTTATTTTTGTAGGGGGCATGCAAGTCACTGTGAGTCTGGAGGTTGGAGGACAATTTACAGGAGTCAGTTCTCTCCTTCCACCTTGTGGGCCTTGGGGATTGAACTCAGGTTACTAGTCTGTGTGACAAGCAGTTTTACAAGTTTTTGTTTATTTTATGCATATGGATTGTTTGTTTGTTTGTTTCAGACAGGTTTTCTCTGTGTAGCTTTGGATCCTGTCCTGGAACTCACTCTGTAGACCAGGCTGGCCTCGAACTCACAGAGATGCGCCCGCCTCTGCCTCCCAAGTGCTGGGATTAAAGGTGTGCGCCACCACCACTTCCATATGGATATATTATTTGTATGTGTTTGCGTGTGTCACATACATGCCTGGTGCCTGTGGAGGCCACAAGAGAGTCTTGATCCCCTGGGACTAGAGTTATAAGCAGTTGTGAGCTGCCATGTGAGTGCTGGAAAATGAACCCAGGTCCTCTGGAAGAGCAGCCAGTGCTCTTAACCACCGAGCTGTCTCCTCAGCCCAGCATCAGGCACTTTCACCTGGCTGGACCCTGTTCATTGTTTTGTTTTGTTTTTTCCTAGGACGACAGACATGCATACATCCACTCACCCACCCGGTTTTATGTAGTTCTGAGGATGGGACCCAGGGCTTTGTGCACACTAAACAAATGCTCTATATCCCCAGCCATATATTTTTCCTGTTTTTATTTTTTGCTGCATTTGAGGCAGGAGCTTTCTATGTAGTCCTGGCTGTCCTAGAGCTTGCTGTATAGACCAAGCTGGACTCAAACTCACAGAGATTCACCTGCCTGAATCCTTCCAAGTGCTGGGATTAAAGGCGTGTGCCACCACTCCTGGCTCATGTATCTATTCTAAGATAGGGTCTCGTGTAGCCCAGGCTGATCTCAAACATGTTAAGTATCAGAGGATGGCCTTGAACTCCTGACCTTTGAGTCTCGGCCTCCTGGATGCTGGGATTGTAAGTGTCCACCACCAAACCCTGCTGCACTTTTCTGTGAACTTCAGAATTTTGAATGTGTGATGATTCCCAGCTCCATATTGAAATGCTCAAAAGTTAATACCATGAGACAAACTGATGAATTGTGGGTAAGTAAAGGGACTTGGAGTAGGTAGAAAACTTGTCAGTGTGTTTGAAATCCTGGGCTCCATCTTCAGCACTGAGGGGAAATGGAACCTGGGGCTCTGGGGTAAATCACATGCTTGGTGTACTCAAAGCCTTCAGTTCTCAAAAGCCCCTGAAACATGGAGCCTTAGGTGGTAGCACATCCTGTTGTGAGGTGGAGGTAGGGCAGTCAGGAGTTCAAGCTCTTCCTTGGCTACTTATTGAGCTCAAGGTCAGCCTGGACTTTAATTGGATCCTTTCTCAAAAAAGGGGCCAGGACTGGGAGGCAGAGGCAGGCAGATCTGAGTTCAAGGCCAGCCTTGTCTACAGAGCAAGTTCCAGGCCAGCCAGGGCTACACAAGAAGTCCTGCCTCGGAAACAAACAAATAAATAAACAAAAGTTGGACTGGAGATGTATCTCAGTTGGTGGAGTTCTTGCCTAGCATTCATGAAGCCCTGGCCTCCATCCCCAGCATAGGGGGATCCAGAGGTCAAGGTCATCTCTGCTACACAGCAATCCCGAGCCCAGCCTGAGCTATGTGAGACCTTGTCTCAAACAAATACACAGGGAGGTGAGGATGGCGTTTGGCTCAAGGTGGTGAGGGGGTCGGTTTGAAGGAGGGTGGCTATAAACAGGAACGTGGGGACTTACTGTGTCCTTTCTGACGAAGTAACTGATTGGTTGATTTATTGATACATTTATTTATTTATGTTTTTTTTTGAGACAGGGTTTCTCTACCATGCATTTACTTATTTATGTATTTTTGAGACAGGGTCTTACCATGTAGCACAGGCTGGCCTGGAACTTGCTTTGTAGAGCAGGGTGACCCAGAACTCACAGAGCTAAGCCTGACTCTGACTCTGGACTGCTCGAGTCAGCAAGCTGGCTGTTAATTTTCAGCGGGACCTTGCTATGCTACCAGGCTGGCCCGGAAGTTCTAGACCCCGGTGGTTTCCTCTTTCATTCTCCTGTGGACCTGGGACCACAAGCTCAACCTTCACAGTGTGATATTTACTTAACATCACGTCCACAACCAGGCATGATAGCAGATGCCGTAATCCCAGCATGGGGGAGGGGAGGGGAGGCAGAGACAGAAGCACCTGGAGTTCAGGGCCAGCCTGTGCTACATGAGACCAGGCTTTAAAAAAAAAAAAAAAAAACCCACAAGGGTTAAGAATGTAGCTCGGTGGTAGAGTCCTTGTATAGCATGCAGGAGGCCCTGGGTTTCATAGTAGCATAGGACCTGGATTTCTCATTCCCATAGCTGGGGGTAGGAGGGTTAATGTCCACGTATAGAGTTAGTTGGTTATGCATGGGACTAAGAGATGGAAGGGAGGGCCAGAGAGAGGGCTTAACAGGTAAAGGCACTTGCCATCAAGCCTGGGAGCTTGTGTGTGATCCCTGGGACCCACACGGTGGAAGGAGAGAACAGACTTCCACAAGCTGTCTTTTAATGTCCACATGCACCCTGAGGCTGCGTTCACCGACCAGTGTACACACACATGCACTGGAACCCTGATGACGCACCCATTTTGGAGACAAGTGCAGCCTCGACAACTATTCTTTTATTGAATAGCGGTGACAATAAAAATGCTTGAGTTAGAAGAAAGCCTCACTCCAAGAAAGCTCTACCCCAAAACCTCAGGGGTGAGCCTGGCAGTGGGGTGGGGCGAGTCCGTGTGCCCATACTTCTTTCGTGTATGTAAGCCTCTGTGGTTTCCTTTCCTACTCTGCCAGAGCATCAAGGGCAGAGGAAAAGCTGCCTGTGGGTGAGGTCCTCACAGCACCTACCCACCATGCGTGCAGAGGCTTCCTGCCTCAGAGCCACCAGGGGACAAGCAGAATCCTAGGTGTTCAGAGTCTGGGTCTCCTGGGGAGGCTGGTCTTGAAGAGTGATTTTCCAGAAGCTTCCACATAGGTGATGCTCATTTCTTTGGGGCTTATCTCCACATACGTGAAGCCACCCAGGGAGTCCTCAGATCCGTAGTGAAAGCGTAGGTAGCCGTTGGGGACCTTGCGCTGGTGTCGCACAGAGGGGTCCATAAAGTTGCCGGCCCCACTCAGCACATAGCCCACTCCGTTTTCATCCTGCAGATACTGAGGGCAGAGGATGCAAGGTTGGTCACTCCAGTCAGGGGATGACCAGGGGTTTCGCCTAGACCTACCTTAAGTGTGGGAATAGGTCTATCCCTGACCACAGAGCTACCTTGAGCAAGAGGTGGATAACCTCTTTGTTCCATCTGCAGGAGTACATCAATCCTACTTCACAGAACTGGGAGTTACTCTGGCATTTGGGGAAGGGTGTGTGTGTGTGTGTGTGTGTGTGTGTGTGTGTGTGTGTGTGTGTGTGTGTTTTCAGTGTTGAGGATAGAACCCATGGCTTCCTGCTTGGTAGGCAAGCACTCTACCACTGAGCCACACCCCAGCCCCTCACTGGGGGATTCCAGTCCAACACTCTGCTTTTGAGCCACGCCCTCTTGACATCTTACGCTGAGTGAGAGTATTGATGTTCACAAAGACAGTCGAGGCCCTCTGAACAGCTGGAGTCCGGCCATGCCGCACCTGGCCAGATTTCTGGTAGGATCCCAGATTCCCCATCCTATCCACAGAGCTCTCACCTGCAAGTTGTGGTCATGTCCACACAGGTAGGCAGTGACCCCGTATGTGGCCAACAGTGGCCGCAAGTGCTTGACCAGGCAGCGAGTGGGTCCGTGTTCAGCAATGGACCAGATGGGGTAGTGGCCAGCCACCAAAACATAGTCTTCCTTGGCTGCTGCCAACTGCTTTTTGAGCCAGGACATCTGGCTGCGGGCCACCCCCAGGTCTCGGGGCATTTTGGGCTGCTGACTGCTGAAGTCATCAGAGTTGCCGCACAGCATCACCGTGTCCAGCATGAAGATGGCCACAGTGACATTTGTCCGTGGAATTCTGAAGTGCAAACGGTAGTACGGGCTTGGGAAGTTCCTGTGGAGGGAACAGAATTGTGGGTAAACATTTCAGGCAGGGACACACCAAGATTAGTTCTGGCCAAAGGACTTCCTGTTTTTATTTAAAGAAAAAAAATCCTAAAAACATTTCTTTTTAGATTTTATTTATTTATTTTTAATTTTCTATGCTCAAATGCTTGCCTGCATTTTATATGCTTGAATGTGTGACTGTGTACTGAGTGCATGTAGTACCCATGGAGGCCAGAAAAGGGTCCCTTGGGACTGGAGTTACAGATGGTTGTGAGCGGCCATATGGGTGCTGGGAAATGAACCCAGAGGCAAAGGACCTCTTTTTAAAAATTTTAATTGTGTGTGTGCTCATATATTTTCATGTTTGCACATGTGCATAGAAGTCAGGGTCAACTTTAGATGTTGTTCCTCAAGAGCCATGCATCATTTTTGGTGAATTTCCGTGTGTGTGGTGGGGGTGCACACACCCATGCACGCATGGAGGCCACAGGAGGAAGCTGAGTCTCCACCTTGTTCCTTTGAGGCTAGGTCTCTCGTTGACCCTGGAGCTCACAGTTTTGTTTTTTTTTTGGCTAGCCTGGAAGGTAGCAAGCCCCACTGACCCTCCTCTCCTCCCTCCCACCCCACTTACTGCTGGAGTTGCATGCATGAAAGAGAGTGTGCCTGGCTGTTCATGTGGGTGCTGGGATTCGAACCCTGGTCCTTGTGCTGGAGCAGCAAGTGCTCTTAACTGTTGAGCTGTCTCTCCAGGTACAATGCATTTGTTTGTTTCCATTTTTAATTTTTCTTTTCTTTGTGTGTGTGTGTGTGTGTGTGTGTGTGTGTGTGTAGGTTACAGGATGACTTTTGGTAACGGGCTCTCTGTTCACTGTGGGCTCCCAGGATTGAACTCAGGCCCTTGGGTTTACAAGGCAAGTGCTTTTTACCCACTGAGACATTTCACCAACCTTGCTTTTTGAGACAGGGTATCTCACTGACCTGTGGGGCTCGCAGATTCAGCCAGGCTGGCGAGCCATCCAGCCCCAGGGGCCTTCTGTTTCCGCACCCCGGACTAGGATTTACAGGCGCATGCCTCCACACTCAGCTTTTGTCACAGGTTCTGTGGATTGAACTCAGGTCCTTGTGATTGCTTAGCAAGCGCTTCCCTGACTGAGCATGCTTTTCAGTCCCGAAAGGCTTATTTGGCTAGGCACAGTGGCACATCTGTCATGTCAACACTTTGGAGGCTGAGACATGAGAATCTTAATTTCTGAGACCAGTCTAGACTACATAGCAAGATCCCATCTCAAAAAACAAACAGCCGAGTGTGGTGGTATGTGTCTGAAATCTTACCCCTTGGGAGAGGGAGACAGCAGGATCGAGAGTACAGGATTATCCTTGGCTACATAGGATAGCCAAGGCCAGCATGGGCTACACGAGACCCTGTCTCAACAAAACCGCAGAATTCCTGAGGGCAGTGCCACCGTTCAGTGAGGAAAGCATCTGCCACCTGATGACCTGAGCTTCAGCCCCGGAAGCCGCACAGTGGGACACGAGAACCGATTCCCACACGTTGTCTTCTGGTCTCTACACATGTCCTGTGACCCCCAATAAATACAATACAATGAAAAACAAACATTGCCCCCAAAGCCAAAGGGTCTCCTTGTCCCTGAGCAAGAGGCTCTTTGGGAAGGAGGGAAGGCTCACCAGCGCTTGGAGACCTTGGAGTAGGCAATTTGTGCTGAGACGTTGCCAAGGTGGTCGTGGTTTCCAGCCAGCACGTACCAGGGGACATTGCGCAGGGCACGGTCGGAGAACACATCCTCAAAAGTTTCCTGTGACAGACAGAAAGGGCACCCCACCTCCGGGGTCAGCAGCCACCCTGCTGCTCCCACCAAATCAGCGACCAAGGACTAAGGAACCCCTTGGTGTCCCGGGTACCTACCTACCTGTAGGAGCTTTTCTGCTTCCCTCTGCCCTCCCCAGAGGAAGGTCCCAGGTTGAAGTGACCTCCCTGCTGTCACCTCTAACCCCGTTGTTGATCACGTACCTGGAACCTCTTGTCATTGGCATCATGCACTCCAGTGAAGTAGAAATTGTCCCCCAGGGACATGATGAAGTCAGCACCCATAATCTGCACGGTTCTGGCGATTTCTTTAGCATTGGCCATTTCCCGAGCTGTGTGGAATGGGGCATTGGGGACCCCGCCCCAGTCACCCACAGCCACAAATCTCAGGGTGGGAGTAGGGGCTGCACAGTGAGCCAGGAGCGGGAGTGACATGATCTGCAGGCCCAGCAGCACCGTCTGTGCGTCCATCTGCGAGGGAAGAGAGCGTCTGGAGTCCCCGACTGAGGACAGAAAGCAAGCCTCTCAGAACTCCACTTTCCCTGTTCCAAGCAAAGGCGGGCCAGCTGAGCCTGGGATGATGGTGCATGCCTATAAACTCAGGCAGCGGGGAGGCGGAGCAACAGCATCAGAAGTTCAAGGCCAGCCTTGGCTACATAGGAAGTTTGAGAAGTGAAAACAGAAGGTCTGAGGCCAGCTGTACACGAGACCTTGTCTCAACACAAACACACACACACACACACACACACACACACACACACACACACACACACACACACACACACACACGAGAGCTAGCTATCCACAGCTGTCTGTTCCAAAGACACAGCAGCAGCAACTGGCCCTGGCCAAGGAGCTGAGGAGCTAGGGAAGGGTGGCCCCACAGGCCTCCTCCATCACCTTCCTCTGGCACTTGGCACTCACCCTGGAGGAAGCACAGGCTGCTCACTGAGGCGGTAAGAGGCGATCCAGCTCCTGGAGCAGAACTGGCGATCACCGAGTCTTTATTCCCTGGGGGAGGAAGTGCATCGTTGGGAAAGATGATGCATTTTCTCCAAGGACAGTCCAGAAGCCCTCCCCTTGGGTCATGTGAGCACTGGACTTCCCCAGAACTGGACATGGGGCTGGGGGTGGGGTGGCGTCCAGGCTGGGCTGGGCCGGGAAAAGCTTGGGGGGCTGCATGCCAGGGTCTGATTGTATGTGTGCTGGGCATCCGAAGGTCCCGGTGTCTGAGTGTCTGTACACTCTCATGAGGCTGTGCCTGAACCTGTTTCACTTCTGTATCACACGCCTGGCCGCCTGTCACTAGCTGTCACCTTTTCTGTGTGCATCTGAGCCAGACCGAGTGGGTGCCTCTGCTCTGGCATGGGAGTTCCCAGCAACCTGAGTGGCTTGTCTGTGACATATACTTCAATTCCTTGTTCTTTTCGTTTGGAGACAGAGCCTCAGGTCTCTCAGGCTGACCCCAAACTTCCTAAGAAGCCAAGGATGACCTTGAACTCCCGAGCCACTGCCTCCGCCTTCCAAGTGCTGGAATTACAGGCCTGAATTCTTCCGTGGCATGTGAGGGACCCCTGGGCATGTCTGTTGTGTGCGGGAGTCCTGCTGCGTCTCTAATGTGAGTTCTGTGTTCGGAGTCATCTAGGTGTGGGGCTGTCTCTGTGTCCACCTCGCCCCCATAAACAGCGCCGCTGACTGCCTTTTCCAGGAAGTTCTGCCCAGGCTCTTCCCTGGCCTCCCCACCCCCTTCCAGCCCGAGGAACTCCCAGAAGGGACACACCACGTGGCTGCAGCCTTTTGACTCTAGCACTCTCAGCAGCTGTCTGCACCCCACCATTTGACCGCGGAGCCCGGTCCTGTGGTAGGTGGGGCCCTCTTCTCACCTCCCCACCTCCCTCCTCCCCTATACTCCTCAGACTTAGTTCCCTCAACACTCACCACCAATCCCTCCAGTCCCTGCTAGTGCGGATCCTGGAATCCCTCGTTCCGTGCTTTGCAAAAAGGCTCAGAGAGGGTCAGCAATTTGCCCCAGGTCACCCAGCGCGGGGTTTGCTGTAGACTCCCCACTCGCACCTCTCAGCTGAGCCGAACAGGAAGGAAGTGGGTGACCTGAACGGGCAGAGACCCCTCCCCCGTGAGAGGCAGCGCGGAGGGCTTGGCCCGACCGGCCTCACCTCGCCGGTCTGTCCAGGGTCCAGGCCAAGCCGTGCGGACCCAGCCGAGCTGCGGATCCGCGGGGACGGGGCGGGCGGGTCGCTCCGGGCCGCACGAAGAGGCGGCGCCGGCCAGCGGTTGCCCACAGCTCTCTGCCAACCTTATTGAGTCCAAGCTTGCGGAGGGCGGGTGCCTCGATTTCCCCGCCCCAACCCTGCCTCAGCCTCTACCTGGCGCCTTCCCTCCCGGGCTCAGAGTCCCGGGAGAGGAGGGGGCCCCGGGACCTGGTTTCATTAGCACCTGCCTCCACCCCTTGGGGTGCCCGCAGCCCCTGGTGGCCGCGCTGGGGAGGTCCACCCCGACCGACCGGGCTCCCTCGTCGGGTGTGATGTCTCTCCGTCTTTAAAATGGGTGAGAAGGAAGCAGGGAGGCAGGTCAGCGCGGAGGCTTGCCCAGCACCCGAGCGGCTCTGGTTCCATCCCCAGCAGCAGGATGGGGGCGGATTGGACTCGTACGTGTGCCAGCCACCTGTAAAACAGGCCTGCACAATCCGGAGAGGAGGAATTTAGGCGGAGAGCGACGCAGAGGGGCTCAGAGCCACCCCCCTCTGCAGGCCTTCCCCGTCCTTTCAAACAAGAAAGTTTGCGGCTTTGCGGGGAGGCTGGGGATGTGGCTCAGTTGGTAGAGGGCTTGCCAACGTGTACCAAGCCCTGGATCCCAAACCCGAGTCGGTATAAAACAGGGGCACACCTCTAATCTTAGGCCGTGGAGGACGGAGCATCAGGTCAAGATAAGTCTCATCCCAGAGCAAGACATGAGACTGTCTCATTCATAAATAAATACGTTCCAGGGGAGGGGAGTCAAATTGTCCTTAGAATTCCAAAGAATAAGGCTGGGCCTGCCTGGTGGCTCACTTCTTTAACCAGAGCACTTGAGAGGCAGAAGCAGGTGGATCTCTGTGAGTTCAAGGTTGGCCTGATCTGTATAGCAAGCTCCAGGATAGCCAAGGCTACGGAGAGAAACCCTGTCTCTAAAAAGAAAACAAAAACCAAATCCAAACAACAAAAGAATTCCAAAGAAAAAAGCCTGGCAGTGGGCCTTCAAGATGGTAGTGACACTTTCCGGCAAGCCTTGAGAACCCGGAGTTCCATCCCGGGACCCACCTGGTGGAAGGTGAGAACCAACTCCATAAAGGTTGCCACGGACCTCCACATATGAGTTGTCCCCCCCCCCCCCCCATAATAAATAAGTAAATGAGTGTAATAAAGATTTTAAAAGTCCTTGTGTGGTAGATCGTGTCTGTAAACCCAGCATTGACAAGGCTGAGGCAGGAGGACTGCAGTGAGTTTGAGACAGCTTGGCTAAACAGGAAGTCCTAGGTCAGCCTGGGCTAAAGTGTGAGGTCCTGTCCAAAAAAAAAAAAAAGACCCTCCTAAAAAAATGAATTCCAGAGAAAAAGAACATAATTCCAGGGGCCAGAAAGACAGCCTAGTGGTTATGACTGTACACAGCTCTTGCAGAGGACCAGGTTTGATTCCCAGGGCTCTCAGGAGGCAGCTCACAACCGCCTTAACTCCAGCTCCTGGCCCTCTGACGCCCTCTTCTGGCTTCCGAGGGCACCTGCACTTAGGTTCGTATAAACTCACGCAGGCATACACACACACACACACACACACACACACACACACACACACACACACACACGACGCAGGTGAAAAAAAAAATCTACACAATCCCAGAGGACCTGCATGTGGTGAACAGCTGCTGAAGGATGGAGAGAGAGTTTCTTCCGTGAGGTAGCCACCGGTGAGGTGTCCACGGTCCTGCAAGCAACCCTCAGGAAGTTCACTGAGATCTACACACCCACACACACACTCACAACACGAAGGGAGAAGAGGGGTTGGGAAAGGGCCCTGCAATGAAGCCTGGCGACCTGAATTTGGTCCCCAGAACCCATATCACAGCGGAAGGAGAGAATGAACTGCACAAAGTTGAGCTCTGACCGTCACAGTTTTGTTTTGTTTTTTGAGACAGCGCCTCACTCTGTAGCTCTAGCTGTCCTGGAACTGGATATGTAGACCAGGCTGGCCTTGAACTTACTGAGATCCACCTGCCTCGGCTTCCAGAGTGCTGGGATTAAAGGTGAAAAGCACTATGTCTGCTGATCTCCACAGTCTTTCCATAGTATATGTGTGAGCCCATACACATATCATGCACACACAATGATACTAAAATTAAAAAAATTTTGAAGTAGAAAGAGGTAAACACACACACACACACACACACACACACACACACACACACACACGAAAGGAGGAGGGAGACATGCTGGGATGAGGCAGGGGTCAGAGAGAGGGGACAAGAGATGATAAGAGGGGGCTGAAGGTGATCAAAATACATTATGTATGTGTAAGAAATGTCATAATGGAACCCAGTATTGTGTATAGTTAATATATATATGTGAACAATACTTAATAAATGCTATTTTAAAAACTCAAAAAAAAAAAAAAAAAAAGCGAACATGAGCAAAAGCAAGCTCCTCCCACAGTGTGTAACTCCTCTCCAGCCTCCCTCCATTTTTGAGTGTGGTCTGGTCTCAGCGACCTGAAGAATAAAGTATAGAATGGCTGAAAAACAGTCATTTTCAAGCGGGGAGTCATCTGGCAGGTAACTTGTGAAGGAGCAGGTTGAGGCAATTGTCATTCCGATTCTGAGCAGGTTGATGTCATGTGGCTTTGAGCTAACATCTGAGCACCCTCCCCACACACACCCCGCGTGCTTCTCCCTGACCCCAGAGCTTCGGCAGATGAGAAGAGAGCCGGATAGGGCCGGTGAGAGGGTTCAGTGTGTAGGAGTGCTTGTTGCCTGAGGACCTGAGTTCCATCCCTGGGATGATGGAGGAAGGATGGAACTGGCCTCCTAGCTGTGCACACACCCACGCACGCGCACACAGTATACATGCAATGGTGACATTAAATTAAGCAAATGGGCATAGATCAAGCCCGGTGAGGTGGCCACACCTGTGATCCCAAGGCAGAAGCCAGAGGACATGAGCTCTGGGCCAGCCTCAGCCACAGATCCAGAGCCTGCATCACAGCTGGAGGAGACCAAAGAGCCATGAAGACTGAGTGCAGTGGCACTCCAGACCGCCAGCCAGAAGGACAGTGTGGAAAGCTGGTAAAATCTACGGGTACTCTGGAGTTTTGGGAATAGTGTCCTTAAAGCCAAGGTTTTACTTACTTATTCTGAGGCAGGGTCCCATGGAGTCCAGGCTGACCTCAAACTTCCTGTGTAGCTGAGGATGATCTTGAGCTCCTGGTGCTCCAGACTGGACCCCCAGAGCACTGGGATTACAGGTAGGTGGCACCACACCTTGGGTTTTTTTTTTTTTTTTTAAAGATTTATTTTATTTATTATGTATACAACATTCTGCCTCCATGTAACCTTGCACGCCAGAAGAGGGCACCAGATCTCATTATAGATGGTTGTGAGCCACCATGTGAGTGCCGGGAATAGAACTCAGGACCTCTGGAAGAACAGTCGGTGCTCTTAACCTCTGAGCCATCTCTCCATCCCCTGTTGTTTTTGTTTTTGTTTTTTTTTTAAGGCAGGGTCACCTTATATAGCCTGGGCTGTCCTGGAACTCTCTATGTTGACCAGGCTGGTCTCAAATTTCAGAGATCTGCTTGTCAGGTGCACGCACCACCACGTTCCTTTCTGCCTATTTGGTTTTATATACTTTTTATTTGTATTTTTTGAGATTAGGATTTTTTGTTGTTGTTGTTGCTAGCCTATGCTGCCCTGGAACACCCAGGCTCAAGCCATCCTCCTGCTTCAGCAGAGACAACAGGTATATATGACCATGCCCCGGCTCAATGTCTATTCATTTTTTTTTCTGTGTTTTAATTTGTCTTCAGAGAAAAATGGGGTACCATTTCATAATTGTCTTTTGTTTTTAACTTTAATGACCTGAATTGGATTTAAATTCACTACGTAGCTGAGGCTGGCCTTGAACTCCTGGTCCTCCTGCCTCCACCTCCCGAGTACTGGCTCTCATCTAATTTCCCCCCTGCAACCCCAGCCCCAGAGGTCAGCCCCACGCTGGAGTTCCTCTCTAGCTGGTCCTGTTCCTGCTCTTCCCCTCCCCTCCCCTTCCTTTTCCCACCGTCCTCCCACATTTCCCAGCTTCTCTGACTCCTCCTCTTTCCTAGGAAGTCTCCGACCTCAGGGCCTTTGCCCTCCATGTTCCATGCTCGAAGGCTCTTCCTTCCTCCATTGTGGCTTCTGGCTTCCTGTATTCACAGGGTTCCTGTATTCACACTCCCTTGACTCTTTTTTTTTCCCCAGTGCCGGCTGTGGAACCCAGGGTCTTATGATCTACCACTGAGCCACAAGGGAGACCTAGACTTATCATCTTCTGCAGCTTCTCTACAGCATGTTATCACGGCCTGCAGCAATGGAGGCATGCGAAAGCAAGGAGAGGCAGGCAGGCAGGCAGGCAGGCAGGCTGCCGTTGTTTTCCAGATCTCGGCCACCTGCAGAAAGGCACCACCCATGACAGTTGAGAGGAGGGCTTCTCCCCTCTGGTAACCCTTCCTGAAGACACA